CAGCGCCGGCGGTGGTTCCCGGGAGCAGGTTCCCTCAGGGTGCCCCCGGGCTCCTTGCCTTCTCTGAGGGCTGGCCCTGAGCAGCTTGGCTGCCGGGGGAGGGTCGTGGGGGGCCGCGGGCGGCTTCCTCCTCACCCTCTGCTGCTTTGCTTGCTTCCTTCTGCCTCTTTTATGTCCCGGTTGCTTTTACTTGAGCTGACCTTGGGTTCCCTTTCTCGGTGCTTCTCCTCTCCAGGGGCACATCCCGCGTAACCCGTGGCGCGGTCAGCGACCAGGCCGTCAGCTCGCGGGTCGCAGGACCCTCTCTCTCGGGTCGTGGTCTGGTTCGCCATGTGCCCAGCCCCGAGGTGTGTGCCCAGCCTAACGCAAAGGCGTTGAGCAGTGTTCCTCTCGGTGGGTACGCGGCCTTCTCTCTTCCCTCCGAGAAACGCTCGTGCCGCCTCGCCCAGCGTGCGAGGGCTGTAGGTATTGCCATGAGCCGTGGGTATTGCCATCATCTTCTCTACGCGTGTTTGGGTACCCGTGAACCGTTGGCCTGAAGCTAAAACGTATTTTGCGATGTTTTGTGTGCACCTGCTAAACAGCGTGTGTTACAGCTGGTGGCTTGGCTCTTCGCTGTCTTCCCGATGCACCTTACAGCTGCATCGCGGAGTCTGTCATCGAGATTCCTTCCTGTGTCCCACTGTTACCTACCTCACCTGAAGGCCCGCAGTTACTTCCACCTCCTCCTTCCCCTCCCTCGGTCCCTGCCTCCAAAAATCTTGGAGGAATGAGAAGGGTGTTACCCACGCCCACTGTCTTTAACCTCTTATTTTGATGGTGAGCTTCATCCTAAAAATGCTTCCGTTAGGTACCCGTTCTGGCAATGTGGATATTTACACCAGGAAATCGGAAACTTTTAAGCACTAAACTAAATATTAGAGAAAAAGTAAAGTAATATTTAAAAATGTACTCCCACACTGAGAAAGCATATTCATGAAAAAGATAACTTAGAGGATTTCTTACTGGAATGAGACTTTGGGAATGACATTCGGGAGAGAAGCTGGGCGAGCTGAAACAAAATGCCAGGCTTTCTGTAGATCCTGTGTGTTGGAAGCATTCCAAAGCTCTGAGTCCAAAAGATTGAATTTTTTTCAGCATGCCGTAAATCTTCCGATGCCTGCACTTGCCTCTGTTGGTGGGAGGTGAGGATTGGGAATGGTTTGAATGTGAATTTTAGTTGATTTCTGCGCTTCTAATTGTCTTTAACGCTCATTAGCTCGTAGCATTCGGCATACTGCAGTAAGACAAGCTCATCGCAAATATGAGCCTGACTTCCATGATAAGTATGGAAACCTGGTACTCCTTGGTGGAGCCGCAGTTTTTACTGCTGTCTGGGGATATGTAAGTCGTCTTCTTTTTCACCCCTCTCTCGTGACTGTAGGTGTAAACTTGCAGACTGTTAAGTTTCACAAGGGCTTACTTGTTGGAAATAACTGAGGTGGTCCAAGTTTAGAAGCTTTTTCCATCAGTGACTTGGAATGTGATGGAATTGGAAGTTGTGTCAGTTCAGGTTTTGAGTCGTTACACCAATTCCTGTGTCAGCCCATTGCTTGGTTTTAAAATGTGGTAGAGAATGTGCTGGGTTTAGTCAGCCGGAGTTAAACCACGGCAAAACCCAAGTGCTTGGAATTTCTAAGATGTGTGGGTAGAGGCTTTAGCAGAAAAAAATAGGGGTGGAAATAACAGTATGGTGATGAGGTTTTACATCCCAGATTCTTTGTTCTAAAGGTAGATGTTCTGAAATAGAAAACTGAAGTATTTGAGTACAAATGTATTGCACTTGCTTTATTAAAACACAAATGAGATGTGTTCTACTGTAAGAAATCTAAACTGAAAATCATAGGAAAAGCCCTCTATCAGCAGGTTTCTTTGATTTCAGAGTCAGTAATCTTAATTTTTATCCCTCCACAGGTGTTTACACAGGCTGGAATTGAGTGGGGCTTGTCACCTGTTGGCAGAATCACTCCAAAAGAATGGAAGGAGTGACAGCCTTTGCTTAGCACGAACTGGTCTAAACCTTCCTGAGAAAATTAACACATAATGGTATTTCCTCCCTGAGTACTGCTGACACAGTGGTGTTCCTGGTCTAATAAACATACCGAGAAACCTACCTGGCTCTTCTGGGTTTCCTCTGTGCTCCGTGTCTGCTGAAGCGTTAAGAAACAGCATTAAGATAATTAAATCGTGTTTTGGGTAGGCGCAGTTGTTGTGTGAAGGTCACCGGCGGATAACGAACGGCTCAGAGCACGCTGTAGTTGTCCCTTCAGCCAGGTGCATGTGCTTAAGCAACCCTCATGGAATTTGCATCGCTGGACCTCTGACTCCCGCTGCGCGTCTCCTGACAAAGCTGGGACCCCGGTTTTTCCCATGCAAGTGCCTTAACGTCTTGAATCACTCTGCAAGGACGCTGCTTCTCCGAGACCTCGGGGAGCTTTTGAGAACCGGTTAGTTTTGAGCTGAAGGTGCTCCACAGAAGTAGGCAGTATCCCAGCACAGCTGTTTGCTGATGCCAGGGGAAGCACGGCTTTCCCAATGGATTCCTGTGTAATCGGGATTGGTGGGATACATATTAGGGGGTGCGTGCAGACTCTGTAAACCTGAGTCAGCCCGAATCCCTGCAAAACCACAAACATCCCGCTTTCTGATACAGCAGGGATGTACGAAAAGGCTGCCTTTCCTCTCCCCGGAAGTTTTTCCTCCCCGACGCTCCCGTTACCGGGGCTGAGGTGAGAAGGCCGGTTGGAGCCGCCCGTATGGCTGGGCGCAGCGCCCGGGCCGAGCACGTTCGGCGTCGCAGTGACTGAAGGGTGCGCCCCGGGGCGCCG